TAAGTGTAGTGTGTAAAACTTTTTGTATAAATAAATCCATACTTATATATATATATATATGAAATTAATACTTATCTATCTTATTTTTTTAAAAACATGAGAAAAATTATTTTAAAATTATATTATTTCAATAAAGCCAGTCTAATTCATGTTTTAAAATAAAGCATTTTAGTTTTTTTAATAAGAATTTATTAAAATGACATAATTTTTAAGTGATTTTATTCTTAATTTTTAAGCAATAAAACAAAGGATTCACTTTTCTATGCATATTCATATTTTTTTATTTAAATATTTATATATAGATTGGCGTCTATATGAGTTAATGCATTATGTTATATGTATAGTATAATTTTTGTTATAAATGTAAACTTCTGTATTTTCATAATGTTTAAGGAGGTACTTTATTTATGTACTGTATATGAGCTTAAATATATATTTTTGTAATACATTTAAATATATTTTAATTTGCATAAAAATTTACAATATTTAATGACTATACAAATATACTTACAATATACCTATATTCAGTGAATTAAAAAATAAATATAAATTTTTAATATCTAATAAATACTGAATGTCACAATCTTATGTTTATATTTTAAATCAAGTAAAGATATAAGTAAATATCTAATTTAATTAATACCTGCTGACCCCTTGTCCTAGTGTAAGTGTAGCTCTCTAAACCCAAAACAGAGTATTGTAACATCTTAACAGGATTTCAACACTGCATGATAATAAGGGAACTGATTTGAGTAAATTTTTTATGAGTCTGACCATGCAATTTTATCATGCATGATGTGAGATCAATGGGTGCATGGCTGTTATAGGAAATAGTCCAGCTCCAAGCACATTAAGGGCGTTTGGTACACCAGAATTGGATAGTGATAAGTGATTTTATTTAAAACATTAATAATAGGTGTTTGATAAATTTATAGATTTTAAAATTGTTATAAATAAAGTATTTGGTAAAAATTTTTATTTAATAATTTGAAACTAGTAGATAATAGTTAGATCCAAACTACTAGTGAATTTAAAAAGTTAGTTTGAATAGTTTTTTATATCAAACCATTAATAAATTGAAATTTTTTAATTTATTAACAAATTTATTTTTTAAATTTTTTTAATTTTTAGTCACGGTTTTTAATTAATAATTATTTAAAAAGTTTCAATTTCATTTTTTTACCTTTAATAACTTTAAGTGATTATTATATTTTTATTTTTTACATTAATTTATAAAAAAATATATTAACTTAACAAACAAAATTTACTAATTAAACAAAATGATTAATTTTTTTTCTTTACTTAAAATAATATAATTTTTTCTTTGTTAAAAATAGAAATGATTGTG